TCAAGGGCTGAACATTCATGTGGATTGTAATGCTGCATTGATACGAGGGTGCTCAACATGAATGTAATCATTCTATGTGCTGCTTTTGCATTCCAGGAAGTGGAAAGACTTATACGATGAAGCCTTTGCCCCTTAGAGCTTCCAGAGATATTCTACGGCTAATGCATCACACTTACAGAGATCAGGGTTTTCATTTGTTTGTCAGCTTCTTTGAGATATATGGTGGAAAGCTTTTCGATCTCCTTAATGAGCGAAAGTGAGTTGCTTCATGTTTTCATTTAAGTTTGCACTTCTTGCATTACCTGCTTAGTTGCTTGAATCTGTTCTAAAGCTAAAGCTCAAATTTGTAGAAAGCTTTTCATTAGAGAAGATGGAAAGCAACAAGTGTGCATAGTAGGATTGCAAGAATATAAAGTGTCAGATGTGGAGATGATTAAAGAGCTCATAGAGATAGGAAGTGCCACCAGAAGTACTGGGACTACTGGTGCTAACGAAGAGTCCTCCCGCTCACATGCTATACTTCAGCTTGCTATCAAAAGATCAGTTGATAAAGCCGATACAAAGCCTCCACGACTAGTTGGAAAACTTTCTTTCATTGATCTTGCCGGGAGTGAACGAGGTGCAGATACGACAGACAATGATAAACAGACCAGGTAATGCATTTTACCTCTTATTGATTAGTTATTCTTCCCCTTGTATAATTCAAAGAGATTCCCACTGTTAGTCATTGTTACTCTCTCTTTTGTGTGTAGTTGTTGTAGTTTGGAAAGTATGTCTGATTTCCGATTTACTTGACCGTATATCCTGTCTCTGTGTATGTGGTTGATTTAAAAAATATGTCAGATTTTTTATTAACTTGAACAAATTTTTACTTTTGGTTCAGACCCAAATTGTGCTTCCTTTCAGACTTTGGTGCATTGCATCCATATCTTAGAAAAAAAAACTAGGTCTTACCGATAGCTTGGAGTTATTTGACTTGATAACTCTAGGGGAACTGATCTGAAATTGTTAACTTTAGATTTTTGGCCCAAGTGAATTGATGGAACGGTGTAGGCCCCATTGCATTTTAAACTATTAGTGTAGTATCCTATTGTTGTGTCTTGCAAGCATAACATACTTTCTAGATTTTTGGATTCAAAGCCTAAAAGGTCCTATCATGGTTGGTGGTAACTTCTCGAGTGAATTTAGGGCATGTTGGAGTATATTAATACTTGATTCTTTTTTCACCCATAACCATAGTGAGCTTCAATAGAATAGAGTTGTGTAAGTGGCTAAGCAGCACAATATCATTATATTCTATGCTACCACTTGATTGATTGGCTGGTTTTTGAGTCAATTCTAATATGAAGCACAACTGTGAGTCAGTGAGTGTAATATAGTTTTGTAATGTCAGATAACTACTTCAAATGTGCAGTTTTGATGTCTCAAGTTTAAATTTAAAACCATTGGTGACTATGCCATTATATAACTTAATCTGTTGTATACCATGCATTTTTCTTTTTGTTCTCCATCTTTTTTGCTTGTCTCAGTCTTTTCACCCATTCAATTTTACAGGATAGAAGGAGCTGAAATCAATAAAAGCTTGCTTGCCTTGAAGGAATGCATCAGAGCTCTTGACAACGACCAAAATCATATACCTTTCAGAGGGAGTAAATTGACTGAGGTGTTGAGGGACTCTTTTGTTGGAAACTCAAGGACTGTAATGATTTCTTGCATTTCCCCAAGTTCCGGCTCATGTGAACACACTCTTAACACACTGAGATATGCTGACAGGTATTTTTTTTTTTCTACAGATAGAATTGCACCCACTAGCATGACTCTCTTTCAATTTTAAATAAACTGGTTTGTTTAATTGAATGGTAAACATCATTTTATATAAATGGTAGATATCATTATAATTAAAAGAATAATTAATGTAATATACTTGTACAAAGTGTAGAGTATATACATATAGATAATTTACTTTTTCTCAACACGATAATTTTTTAGCCCCATCAACCCATAAATCCTTGCCCTATTCTTTTGGCCAAGTAGAGGCAAGTTTGCCAACACAGAGCTTTGACTGTCATTATTTTTAATTATTCATTAGTAAAAACTATAACAAGTTAATATCTGAAAATATACGTCGAGACTATATAACAACATTAATATATATATATATATTATTAAGAAAAAAGGTCAAAGTATATAATAGTGCAAAAAGTCAAAGAGGAGTAAGGTTTCTTGGGATGCAGAGGATAATTATTTTGATTTGTTTAATATGGAGTATTACTTTTTTTTTGAAGGAAATATGGAGTTTTACTTTCATCCCATGGTAGTCTTCCTATATATTTTGGGCATATATGTCTGGGAGAGCTCTTAAGATGGAGCATATGTTGCAGTGTAAACTACAAGTTTAAAGAACGAGTTAAATCTAAGCTAGTGGAAGTTGTTTATTTATTTTTCTTGTTTTACGAGTGGAAAGGAAAGAGAAAGAAGAATAAAAAGTGGGAGGGAAGGGTTAATGGAATAAGGAATTGGAAAATTGGGAATATTATTTGGGGGGTGGAGGGAGTACTCTAAAAGATTAACTATCCTGAGTATCCTAGGATGTAAAAAAAATTCCCCTGAGGTCCTGACTGGGCTTGATGTGATTGCACAATTATGTTTTTCACTACAATAGTATAATTGAAATTTCCAAAGGAGTTTTTGTTAAAAAAAAATTTGAGATAATGTGTATCTGACTCTCTACAGGGTGAAGGGCCTTTCTAAAGGAAACAATGCAAAGAAGGACAATTCACTTCCTACTGCAAATTTAAGGGAATCGACAAATTTTCCACTATCTTCTGGTTTACAAGCTGTGCTTAAGGATGACAGCAATGATTCTTGGCCCCAACCTGTTGAGAGAGATGAGTATGATATTCCTGAAGAAACGTATGATCATCCAAAAGTTGCCATGAAGAAAAATGGAAAGCTTGACTCAAGCGCCTATGCTTCTGAGGATAAATTAAGGACTGTCAAGGGTCAGGCAAAATGGAAAGGCATGCCCAAAGTCGAGACAAAGAATCTTGATTCAGATGATGATGACTTGAGTGACCTCTTGCAGGTACAATTAATACTGTTGATGGTGGCTCTAAATCTGAAGCGATGAATCCTTTCTTGACCAGAATATGATTTAAATTTTTACAGGAAGAAGAGGATCTTGTCAATGCTCACCGAAGACAAGTTGAGGAGACTATGGATATTGTAAGAGAGGTATGTACATGTCACATGTACATGAGCCATGTCATGAAATAACTTGCATCTCTTGACATATTTTGTTATATTGTTTATGTGCACTCAAGCCTGAGCTTCATTGCATTATATCTTTTCTACTTTAGACTAGATAAAATCCTGAATCCTTCAATATATTAATTTTTTCAAATCGCAGGAGATGAATTTGTTGGTTGAAGCAGACCAACCGGGGAATCAGCTTGATGATTACATTACTAGACTCAATGCCATTTTATCTCAGAAGGCTTCTGGCATTATGCAGCTGCAGACACGCTTAGCTAATTTCCAAAAACGATTGAAGGAGAATGATATTTTGATGTCATCAACAGCTTATTGATCTCATTGTGTCTATTGAAGAAGCTGGATTTCATAGAGCAGCTTTCTACATAGTGCAACTCCATCAATTGTTTATCGACAAGCTTCTGTTGCAGGATTGTTGTGCCTTGTTGATATGCCTGCTGCCTGCAGGAATTTTTTTAACCCTCCTGCTCATACGTTGCAGCTGCTACCAAGTTGGAAATGATTTTCGCTTTTGGAGAAAGCCTTGCTTATTCTCTTCGTGTTATTGTTTCGTATTATGGCCAGGAGAGGATATGTTACATATAAACATACTATGAGAAAGAGGTATTTCATCATAGTTAAGCATGCATTTGTAAAGATTTCTAGTAAAATAACCTCCCTTGACCACTGTATATTATTTGTCAGCCGAGCTTTTTTGCATGATATCTAAGATAGCTGATGATGGTATAGCAAGATAACTTTTAGCCACGACCATTGGTGATATGGTTCAATGTGCATCATTTCCTGCATCACTTTATAATATGAAGTGCTTGTTCTCTATGTTTAACTGAACTTGTTTGGAGTGCACTTTTTAATTAACTTCTGCTTTATACAATCCCTACTTCAAATTATTTAGGAATGATTTCACCTAGGAAAATGTCCCAAGTAATTCTTCTTGCAATTTAATTGCCCTTGGAAAGCCTCTCTGGATGGACAGGATAACCCTATCTCATTCAATGACTTCTCACAAAAACTTTTCTGCAGATAACTCTGAAACCAAATTTTATGCATCAGTAATTCATTCAACCACAGTTTTTTCTGCTATATTTAGCACCTGATGACAATTTGGAGAACAATGTCCACAAGCTATTCCTTTATCTTTCCTCTTATCCTAGAAATCCTACAGTAACTCAGTCAGTTCACCTGCCAAAGAATATCTTGGCATTGCTCGCCTGTAAATGGCTAAAACACCTCGCAGTTTCTCAACCTCAATCTCTTAATTTTGTCATCATAGTAATGTATTTCAACCTGAAGTTCAACATAAAGGATCTCTTAAAACGGACTCAGGGGTTGAGGGTCCAGGCCTACAATTAAGCCATGGTAGGATGGTCCTAGATTGGCATCGCTTTCTAAGCCATCCATACATAGCTGTTCCTAAAATCTTCAAGTAAGTAGCTCCAATATTAATATTCATTCCCTTGTGTTCAAATTTCAACTATTATTCCTATTGCAAAACTCTACTTAATTTGTACCTACTATCCTATGAGGTAGTAGTGACTTCTTCCCTCCAATTCCCTCCTTTGACAGTTGCAAGTACTAATATTACTCGAAATAGGTATAGCTCTACCTTCACAGCTCAAACCTGACACTAGAAATATCTTCATCCCTTTTTCACTCCCTAATTTGACTATTTTTGGGAATATTTATCCATGAGTAGATTTACTCATCTCACTGCCCGGTCTGCCCCTCCCCATACCCAGATGTCTCTATCAAAACATCGTCGAAAATGTCATCCAACTCTGTGCCACCATATGTGAATAGAATGTTCTGATACATCATAAAAAAACAGCAAACTTTCAAAGTTACATAATATGAGCTTCTTTCTTCTCTTCACTATATTTGGACAACCACAACTTACAATACACTGAGTTAATGCACAAAAAGTCATGAATTCAGCTTTGTGCCTTTGAAATGACATAATTAAAGTTTCGCGAAAGGATTACAGCTTTGTCTAACCAGTTTTATATCCTGATGTCAAACCCCTTTCTGACCCTTCTAAGAATTATTGGTATAAGAGTTTCAAACCAGCAAGCGAAACCAGCTTGTGATTTGAGCTTACTTTCCTGCTTATCTAAAATCCAAGAGAGCTCACAGCATTGTAAGAGATTCACTACACGATTCTTCACTAGTAGCCCCTACATTATACGGAGCTGGTTTGCTTGATTGTTCCGTGCCTATCCAGTTCTGTAACTTCTGAAGTCAGGCTCATTTCTGTTGCAGATAGTTTGACTGTCTGGTATCCATGCCTTGTAATTGTAGCTAAGTTTTAATTTCATGCTAAAAAAAACAATCCATATTCAGTCAATGTACTATCAGCTGTGTATTTTGAAGGATTGAGACTTTCTTTTTACCGCAAAAACAACAGTTTTTTTGTTCATTTTCAGCAAGAAATTTAAAGATTTAACAAAAAGCTCAGATTACAACTTTTTTGTTTGTAGATAACCTTATTATCTCATTACATAATAAAAGGTAGTACAATAACACACACTGGACAATTAAGCACACAATACTCCAGGGGTTGAAATGGAAGGAAAACAGAAAAAAAAATAGACAATCAGAAGAATATAATGAGACCTTGAGATGAAGATCAGATCATATATATATGTAGTAAATAATCTGGTTAAAGTGCTAAGGGACCGAGTCTCCTGCTGCTCGAAGAGCTTATGCTGATTGAAGGTTGTGGGAGGTGAAAATCCGCGTACATATCCATGAAGAACTTGTTGACAATATCTACATACTCTGGACAAGTAAGGCGCGAATAGTAGTGAAGAGCTTCTTCAACATCCAATGTATGATCCACATCCCTTACATCCATCATATCTAATTCTTTCATTTTTTGTGCTAGTAAGTAAGCATCACCATTTGCAATTGCATACCTAAAAGAAGTTGAAGTTGTAGTAGAAGGCTGATTTTTCTTAGGACCTTCAATTTGTTTCGCGGTCTCATCAGCTGTATCCTGTGCAGTTCTGATTGGTTCAGTGCTGTCATGAGCATCAGTGTTGGTAAATTGCTTCATTGAACTGTCAGCATTGGCTCGGTCAGTGTGACCGGAAACTGATGATTGGTTGCAGTTGAAGAAGTCTGGATAGATTTGATCTAGGTGATGGCTTCTTTGGTTAATGCTGCTGCAAGATAAAGGGTTTAAGAATAAGGTTCTGGGTATCTTATCATAGCTTCCAAAGAGGAAGTTTCTGATGTTTTGCAGAGATTTCTGGAAGAAATTTTTAGTTTTTTGCATGGTTTTCCTAAACAACATTTGCTCTCTTTTCTTTTTTCTTTTTCCCTCTCTAACTTCAACTACTAACGTATTATGAACAAGGCTAAATAGAAGAATGAGTCATGTACTAAATAACCATCTAGTCCTCTGGAAATAATCTTATAATTTAACTAGTATTATTCAAAGTAAATTTAATTTTTACATTATTCTCATTTCTTTAATTGTACTTTTATAAGTCATCAGCGTAATAAATCTTTCTAATACAAAAGACAAAGTACTTATTCCCTTCGTCTCAAGATACACAGTACAACAAGAAAAAAAATGATACAATATGTACACGCGATGACCATGCATCCCAAAAGTAGTATCCGATATTTTCATATCTAGTTATCTACAATGAATGTGTACTATGTACCGTGTACGTATAGGAAGTTTCATTCAAATTATTATCTGTATTATGTAGTATAACAAGGGATCATAAAATCACCAATTTTTTACCTGAAGGTTAACAATAGATCTAGTTGGTAAATTTGTAAGAAAAAGATAGTGGCATTGATTAAGGAAGAAAAGCTAAAGGCAATAAGTGGAAGATGGGTAAAAGTTTATAAAGGTCACATAATAGCTCTCAAGCACTAAGTAAATCATGATCAATTATTGGATAAAACCATGCGATTCCCGAAAATGTAGGGCAATTTTCATGAATGAAAGCAACAACAATGAACAGGGGATTTTGTTAATATGATTGAATTTTAGGATTACAATCTTATTGTGTTATACCTTCTTTTATTGTTATTAAAGTAGGATTAATTCATTCATTAGAGTGGCCTAGTTGTTTGCTGGTCCCAAGATCTTTGTAAACAAAAGGCTTCAATCATCATTCAAGTTTTGTTGATGGGGCTAATATACCTTGCTCATCTTATAATGTGGTGTCAAGATGTAGATGTTTGCATTTAACGGATGTTATATAGCTCGTTCATTCAGTTAGTTGATCGATGATATTAATTGTTTGGTAAAATTAGTTGTATGTTAACACGGGTTTTTTGGGTTTAAAGCTAAGGATAGAAAACGATCTCATGATCCTGAATCCATCTTACCTGCTTTATAAGATTTTCGATTAGCATGATAACAGGATTGTATGAAATAATGTAGTGAGTACATACAATAGTGCAACATGCTAAGATACTAAGGCTAGTCACCTAATAGATTTTGCAGGCATTATGTAGGATGGTGTTGGCACAAAGCTAAGCATAATTTCATTTGTAGAGTTGTTACTAGCAATATGAGACTCACAGGTTGTAAGGAAATTGGACAATAATGGACCCAAAAAATTTGCTAAATTCAGAGGATACACTTTAGAAAAGCAATTTATGGACCTGCAGCATAGTAGTAGTGTGGTCACTTTCTTACACTTGCCATAATCAATTCTTCGTCCGTTCAAAATTGTCACGTATACCATGTACTAATATGTTCGGAAAAAGTTCACTTTTTTTAACCATTAGCTTAATTTAGGATGGTTTTTTTTCTTTGACTTAGGCAATTGCTTTAATGCAGCGAAGATCAGTCATAACACAGCCACTCCATTTGTACTGATGAATGTTTAGCGAAATCATAAGTTTCATAACCTATTGGTATTTTACTAGAAGAGATTGGGACAATGTGACATCTAGTTTTCGGACATTCATTAAGTCATTAAGAGATAAGTCTGATACTTGTTAATCAATGTTCTTGGCAGCTATGACTAAATTAATGAAACATCAGTAGTTAATCAGATACAAGTGTTTGTACATGTCATTTAGTAGACAAAGGAAATTTTAGTACAGTAGAAGAGGCTTCCTATGTCAGTTTTTTGACAGTACAGAAAAAATGACATTTCAAGTAAGTTTTGGCAGGTGACATTACGTAAGCTGTTGAGATTGAATTCTTGCTCTGATTTTACAACTGAATTTGTTGAGAATCATAATTAGAATAATAAAAATGGAACCCACTTTGCAATTTAATTTCTAAGTTGACACACACGTGGCCACATGGGATATCACTATACAATTGAATTTAACTTGGTAATCCCATGTTCTATAGGACTGAAATTATTTTTGCTGAACTGAAATTATTTTTACTGATTTTCTATTGTAATTCTTCTTTAAGAAAACTGAATTTTACTGAACTGAACTTATTTTTACTAAACTGAAATTAAGTAACAACATTAGAGATTTGTTCAAACTAGAAGATGTGTTCAATACGGATTATAAAGGCGGATCATATACGAAGTATAAAGTATACTCCGTATTAGGTTATTGATTTTTGGTTTGACTTTCGTGTGTACAACTTGAAAATTGTCAATCTGCATCATAGGTTAAGCTAACAGACATATATATTGAATACATATGCATAAATAGAATCATAATAGCTACTTTAACGATTAAAACGAGATGCTAACTATTATGTGCAACAAATGTTTTTTTTTTCCTTTTTAGGAGTGCGCAAACGCTCCCTTTGTTGCAAATAATAGTTAACGGAGGAAATATATTGGGATTAACAGAGAATCAGCAAAGAAATTAACAAGAAAAAACAAATGAGATAAAAAAAGGGGATTAATAAAAGATTATAGAAAAAGGGTGTAGAACTAAGTATTTGTGTATCAGTTGTATATTGGAATTAACAGAGAATTTACAAGAATTATCTAATGTATCCAGAGTTTGATCATGAACATTGAACAAATTATTAACAACAGAAAACTCTTGAACTAAATTGCTTTACAATTTGTGAACAAACTAACAAGTTTTACTGAATTAGAACTAATCTGCAACATAGATCCTACATCAAATTAAAGGTGCCTTGCTTAGCACGGCTCGTAATTTGGAGACATCGGCCGCTAGTATCCAGGAGACGATGGCGTGTACTCCGATGACTTCGGGGTGTACTCGGGTGAGCAATCCAGAGTGGACGATGGTATGTACCCAGATGAATATTTCGGAGACGCCGGAGTGTACTCTGGTGAATATGAATACGGTGAATAATTCGGAGATGACGGATTATACTCGGGTGAATATGTAGGAGGCGACGGAGTGTACTCGGGTGAATATGAATACGGTGAATAATTCGGAGACGACGGAGTATACTCGGGTGAATACGTAGGAGACGACGGAGTATACTCGGGTGAATATGAATACGGTGAATAATTCGGAGATGACGGAGTGTACTCGGGTGAATATGTAGGAGACGACGGAGTGTACTCGGGTGAATATGTAGGAGATAAATAGGGTGAATATTTTGGAGACGACGGGGTGTACTCGGGTGAAGTTGACGTGTAATCGGGTGAATATTTCGGAGGTGAATAATTGGGAGATGACGGTGTGTACTCGGGTGAATATTTCGGAGATGACGGGATATATTCAGGTGAATAACGAAGAGGAGACGACGCCGATGATGCGTGGGATGAGTATGTAGGAGCCAATGGGTTGTACTCGGGTGAATATTTAGGTGAATCAGGGGTGTACTCGGGTGAACCCAAGTGATCAAGAGGAGACGATGGAGACAACGGGGTGTACTTGGGTTTGTATTGGGGAGTAGAAGGGGTGTACTCGGGTGAGTAATTAGGAGATGACATCGATGAATATGGGGTGTACTCCGGTGAGGAGTACTTGTATCGAGGAGTTGAATTGCAGCGGTAGTAAGGGTGGTGCGAACAAGATGATGGAGGGTTTTGGGGCTTCCACATTTTTTAATGTTTGATTTTGAATAATGATTGTTTAAGCTATAAAAATTGAGGAATAACGTCAACCCTTATGCATTTCCAGGTTATTTTTCTATATTTCTCAATACTCATTGGCTGATTTTGATGCGGGAGTATCTTAACAATTTTATCTTTTACGCTATTTTAAACTCACTAGGATATTCATATTTCATTTTTTTTTTTTTTTTTGAAGACCGTGTTATTTTCTATTACAGGCTCTTTCTTAGTTATTTGTTAGATTAAATTTGGCGTTTTACACGCATATTATTATACATTATCTTTTGTGTTAAACGGATAAAAGTTAGGCCAAATTAGAAAATAACACCTATTAAAAACCCCGATTTTGATAATAACACCTGTTGAAAAAAAAGTTTTATTATAACACCTACAAAAATCCCAAAATTTTGGTTTCACCACCCACTAACGGACTTTTGGATGGAAACCATTAGTGGGGCCCGCCATGTACACGTGTCAGCTGTGTATTGGTTTAAAAAAAAAGAATTTTTTTTTTAAAAAAAAAACCTAACCCAGCCAGCCCCACCACCGGCAACACCTACCCCAGCCAAGCCAGCCGCCGGAACCCTCTTAACACCTAGCCAGCCCCAGAAACCTCCTCCCCTAACACCGACAACCCTTCCCTAACGCCGGCATCGCCCGATATCCCCTCCCCTAACACCAGCACCGCCCTAAACCCCATCCCCTAACACCGATAACCCCAAACCTCCTCCCCTAACACTGGCATTCCCCTAAACAGCCAATTTCGTTCGCCTCCACCACGAAATCGACAGATTTGGGGCTTCTAAGGTCGATTTCGGCCGGTTTGAAGGTGAAGGATAATTCCAAGGGTGGTTTTCGGCGAAGGGGCTAGGTGGTTTTCGACGAGGGGGCGAAGGGGCTAGGTGGTTTTCGTGGGGGGGCTGTGGTGGGTGGGGGTGATTTTTCGGGGAGAGGGAAGGGGGAAGGGGATATGCGGGGGTGCTAATGTCGGTGGGGGTGATGGCTGGTGATTCCGCCAGTGAAGGAAGGGTTTCCGGCGGCAGTGGGGGTCTTTGGCGGTGGAGTGACGGCCGCCGGTGGTGGCTGGGTTAGGGTTTAGGGGTTTTTCTTTTTTTTTTTTAATTTTACTTTTTTTTTATTTATCTTTTTTTTTAAACCAATACCTTATTGACACGTGTACATGGCGAGCCCCACTAACGGTTTCCATCCAAAAGTCCGTTAGTGGGTGGTGAAACCAAAATTTTGGGATTTTTGTAGGTGTTATAATAAAACTTTTTTTTCAACAGGTGTTATTATCAAAATCGGGGTTTTTAGCAGGTGTTATTTTCTAATTTGGCCTAAAAGTTATCTTAAACTTTGTATAATATGGAGTATTTTTTTTTTTGTAATAGTTGATTATATGTGGCGTCATAATAGATGAAATATATAGATAAATTTCCTTATAAAAAATATTTAAATAAACTGATTTTTTTTTTTTTTTTTTTTTGAGGGGATAAATAAACTGATCTTTAATATTATCTGTATATTTTTTACCAAGTAGGGAACTTGAATCTCTAGTCTTATGTAGATATTTTGGTTTTTTATAATTTTGTTATATACTCCATATATATTTTTAAAAATACTCAAAATCATAATTTCTTCTTTATACTAAATGATTTTATCCATTTCAAAATAATTGACGATAGTTTGCAGTAGAATTTGGGGAAGTAAGGCAGGATTCTTTATTCAATACTTTAAATTTTAGTACAAGCAAAGTAAGCTAGTATCAAGGTGTCAACAATTTTCTTCAAAAAAAAATAGTGTCAATAATTAATCTTCTTTTTTATTTTTTATTTTTTTTTGAAAAGAGACATATAGCTTCATATATTAAGAGGAAAAGTCCATATCGGACAAAGTTACAATACTCTGTGGGAAATTGCAAAAGCGAATATACTCCGCATTTCCACTCGTATCATCCCTAGCTGTAAGATGAGCTACGGTGTTACAAATCCTCTTAGCATGTGAAAATAAACAATCATTAAAACTTGCTCTATCAACTCTAATATCATCGTAGACTAAATGAATAGGAGAAAGACCACCATCATGAGAGGAAATAGCCTTGATTACATTTATAGCATCTGACTCCACCCATAGGTTAAAGTACCCAAACCGAAGAGCTAACCTTAGTGCATAACGGACAGCTTGTGCCTCCACACACTCGGGGTTCAAAAGCTCCACCCTCTTCGTTGCTGTCATAATAAGACAGCCTTTATCATCTCTAAATACAACCCCCAGACCTGCCAAACCCACCCTCGGTACATAAGCGTCAACATTTGCCTTGATGCACCCCAAAGGTGGGCATTTCCACAACACTGCTGCCCTGAACCTGCTGCACCGAAGGTTTAAAAACCTTTGAGGCATATTCCTCATACTCTTGCACTAATTTAAAATACCCCGCTGCTAGCATCACCGCATCAGGTTCTTCGCCATCAAAAATCCACAAATTACGACAGCGCCATGATGCCCACATCAAGGCTGCCATACGCAGCAACACTTTGGTCTCGACCTTCCTTTGTAGCCATTCCCACCTTGCCACAAAAGAATCAGTTGGTGCATCAGCCACTTGATCCAACAATCCACTACGACCCCAAATTTCAGCAGCAGCTTTGCATTCAAAAAGTGCATGAATAATAGTCTCATTATATGCCCCACAAATCTGGCAGGAAGAATTCTCAGTAATATGACGTTGCTTCAAGCGATCTTTGACAGAGAGATTACCTTTCACCGCCCCCCAAAGGAAGTGTTTAATTTTTGGTGGCCCTTTCATATTCCAAACAGACCTCCAGAGCTCCTCATTATCGGCCACCATAGCATTCCCATCCTCAACCCCTCTAGCCAACCAGTAGCATGATTTTACGGAGAAAAAACCACTCTTCGTATAGCACCAAAATCTGCCATCCGTTCTTTAATGGTGGGAAATAGGAGTGGCAAGGATCTTAGCAGCAGTAGAGTTATCCACCAACCCCCTGACTTTCTCAACATCCCAATCGCTGCCATTTACAGAAAGTAACTCGTGCACCAGCATATTCTCCTCCACCCCATTAGGTTGTTGCACGCTGATAGGCTTACCATCCTTAACTAGCCAAGCATCTTTCCAAGCTCGAATATTAGCCCCATTCCCTACTCTCCACACGAGACCATCACGAAGCAAACCCTTTGCACCCCAAATACTTCTCCAAGTATAACTTGGATCATATCCTCTCCTAGCCTCCATAACACAAGTGTTCTTAAAATATCGAGCTTTGAGGATTTTAGATGCTAAAGATTCCGGATTTGACATCAAACGCCACACTTGTTTCGCCAATAGAGCTTGGTTGAAACATTTTAGATCCCGGAACCCCATTCCCCCTTTTGCCTTTGGTAGACATAACTTCTCCCAATTTTGCCAATGCAACTTCCTATTATCAACCGTAGATCCCCACCAAAACCTACATGAGAGTCTATGTATTTCATCAATTAAGCCCTCCGGGATTTTAAATAGACTCATCATATAGGTAGGAATGGCTTGAGCAACTGCTTCCCCGGCTTAGAAAGTAGTTTCTCCTTCCACCCATTCAATTTCTTCCAAATTCTCTCCTTCAAAATTGCAAAAATGGCTTTCTTAGACCTCCCAATTATCGTCGGCAATCCCAAATACTTCTCATGTCTTTCAACCTCTCGAATTCCCAGAGCCTCCACAATTGCCTGTCTCCTTTCAAGGGTTACACATTTGCTAAAAGCAACCTCCGTCTTATCTAGATTAACTTTCTGACCAGATGTTCTTTCATATATACTAATAATATCAGCTATCTTCAAACATTCCTGCGGAGTAGCTTTAGCAAACAAAATACTATCTTCGGCAAAAAACAGATGAGACACCCTAGGAGCCGCATAGCACACCCTCGCCCCACTAATCTTTTTTTCACATGCAGCTTTTGTTTATTTAAGCCTTAAATTAATTTTCGACAAAAAAAAAGATAAAACATTAAAATTTCAAATTAGGTGTACAAAATGACAAATAATATTAGATTATAAGTTCATATAAAGGTTACAAAGGTTCAATTCACAACATAAATTTGTTCAAATGACTAAATCAACATATTTGGACAAGTGCTTTAAAGATTAAATGAAAAAAAAAGAGAGAGAGAGAGAATGAATTAACATACAGAGTAGCTTAAGTTTGAAGATCTTATCATTGACTTGCAATTTTTATACCATGAAATTATGCTGATTTATAGCTATTATAGCTGTGTACTGTATCATGAACACTTACACAACCTTAGAAGTAAAAATCATGGCTAGAGTAAAAAACTTGTCATCGTTGAATCTGGCCAAGAAACCTATTGTATTACATCTATCTATACAAGGGAATGATCTCAGAGGTGGCTGTACGCCCTGTACTTGGTTTGCTAAGTTAAAACTGATTCTCTAGTTTTGAACATTACCTTACTTTATTCTTGTTAATCTTAAAGAACTGATGTAGCAGTCTGTGAACTTCACCATAGTTGGAAGTAGAAGAGATAAGACGGTCTTGAATCCATTGTGGTAGTTTGCTAGCTGTGTGTGAAGAACTTCGCTTTATAGGGTCAGAGACATATCGTGAATCAACCAACAAAATAGCAGCATAATCATTTATGTGACGAATTGCTCTGCCTGCAAGTTGAGAAGAAGTATACATGTATGAGGTTAAAACTGTGTTTGGAATACGTGGTATAAACATAGATTGAAAAGCAAGGATCTAATTATAGGTCAAGTTCTAATATTGCTTACCAATTGACTGATTCACAGCTTTCATACAAAGATTTTCATAATACTCCTTGCCTCTTCGCTTGCAACGTCGTAAAATGTCAAACCCAGAATTAAGATTTCCTCCATTATATGTGTCATTATTTGAAACCTGTAGTGTGTTGGTAAATTTGGTGTCACCAATGCCTTCCATGTGCTTGATTCTCTCAATCAGCTCAATATCTGATGGGCTAGGGTAAGGAAGCCCGGCCATAACAATACATCTGCCCATTCCATCACTGAAGTTGATGCCTTCTGATATCTTACCACCAACTACAGCCAATAATACTGCACCATTTAGAGATGTTTTGCTTTCACTTAGGGCTTTATTAGAAAGCATGTCAATTGTATCTTTGTACTCCTTCAGAACACCTTCAATATCTGAACTGCTTCGAGGTTCTCTAAACAAACGCTTCTTTTTTGTAATCCTGTTTAGAATGCCACTTGTTCTCCATACCCCATAGACCTTGTCTTTGTAGTCAAATGAAGAGAAAAATACAACTATTCCTTCAGGAACTACACTCACCAAATTGCAAAGCATAAGACCAAGCTCCTCAATCTGCACTTCCAAAATACATGAACAAAGAACAACTTTCAGCATTCAAATATTTGGCTGAATAGTTACTTGAAAGAAGAATGTTCATCAACAAGAAAACAAAAGGAACTCCAGGGAACTTAAATTAAGGTCACCAAGAAGACTACACCAGAGCAGATATGTACTTTAAAGAATCGATATGACTTCAAATTCAGCACAATGTCCTCAGGATTACAAAAATACAATATAGCAGTCTTGCAAAATGAAATAGGAGGGCAAATGACGGACCATTTTTGGCGAGCTTCTGGATGCATAGCTGAAATCGAATGACAGGCCAGATGGCCCACTTGATACAGCAACTGGTAGGATACTCTCAGGAGGGATGATATGACCACATGAAAAGAAATGCAAACTCTCTGATGGTAACCAAGGGAAGAGTCTCTCCCTCGTCTCCTCTATAGGTTGCAGAGTTCCTCCAGCCAAGACAACTGCATGAGCTTGATTTACAATCTACAAAATGGCCATCATTCATTTAGAGGAGCAAACTAAACCTATCCAACCATGAATACCACACCACAAGGTAACAGTAGAAAGCAATGGAAGGTAAGTTAAGCAAACCTCAGAAAAAATCTTTTCACCAGTGAGCATAACATATTTGATGAATCCATCTTGCTCAGACAGTCCTTTTGATCTCAGCTTTGAGACTATTATCCTCCCATCAACATTTTTATTTGTCAATGATAATAGCATATCAAGTAGTGCCCGAAATCCAGACAAAGTACTTCCCCCTTCTTTACTGATAGAATCTCCAGGGATCTGCTTCTCCAAGCATGTAACCTTATCTCCATATCCACTGACCTGAGCATTAAACTATGACAGTAAGCTACACAAGATTGCAAGGAAACACAAAAAATATCATGCATAAGATAATGCTGCAAACATTTGCGCACCTTGTGAATGATGTTGCTTTCCTTAACGTAATTTATGAGCTTTACAAAATTGATGTTGTCGATATTCAAAGCAAATAGAAAATCATTTATTGTCACTGATGATTCGTTTGGACCTTTTGTAGCTCTATCAACAGCATTGCTAGTTACATTATCATTTGTTTCATCCTCATTGAATATAGCTTGCATGAAAGCTCGGGTCAGGATCATTAAGATTTGGATATATCTCCTATTTCCAGACCCCAAACGGCTACGGAATTTTTCAAGGTAATTCTCCAAGCATTGATGCAAGTTTTCCAACTGAATAGAAGACAAATCAAAATTAATTGAATTTTATAACCTAAAGCAATTAAACTGATGTAAAAAAATTTGTCATTTTCTTTTTTATGTATGTAAAGAGCTCCAGTAGTCCAATTCAAAACAATACCAAAGAACGGCCAATTCATGATAGGAATTCTGGTGCTAATACTCTAATAGGGCTATGAATGAGGAAAAAGTTACCTGTGACAAAGAAATCTTTGCATCATACATGCCGATAAGTGAATCAGCTAAATTATGAGCCTCATCTATTATAATGATATTGTTCTTCAAATTTATTCCAAGGGATTCACGAGAAGCTTTCGATAATAGAGATTGATAAGGAAGCACAACAAGATCCGCTGCTGGAACCATACGTCTTGAGCCATAGTATGGACAAGTTCCTAATCTGCTACCAAGATCAACAAGATCTTCAATATCTAAAGCCTCTTGCTGAGAGACATCACTCACGAAATCCTTTTGCAACTTCTGTTTTCTAAGCATTGGGCAGCCTGCAGAAGCCTTTGTCCGCCGTACACTTCCTCCAGGCTCCAGCTTCTGAAATCAGCAGGTGCCATGTCAGAGTTAAGCATTTAACTGTTTAGAGGTTTCAAATTGACCTATCTCTGGATAAAGTGTATATGGTTATAAATCTTATAGGTAACAACATAAGTATGCAAAAATGTACAGAAATATCATTCAACACAATTCCCGCAAAACAAAAAGGTTGTATTTAAATTGGAAAGCAGCAAAAAGTGCAGCAGCTTCAGACATGCATCATGGGGCTTGCCCCAAACAAAACAAATAAATTAAACATCAAGTGAAGAGGCTCTGCAAACTCTTGATATTAGAATGATGTTCCATAGAGAAAAACACATGGAACCTTCAAACTGATAATTAATGATTATCCAGTTATCCACAAAGAGGTAAAAATAAACCATACATATAAATCTTATCCAGGAAACTATCAGCAACTTAGTTGATTAATATCCAAGTTTGACACTACTTAATATAAAGCAAGAAAAGACATGAGAAATCAAAATGGATATAATATTGGATAAATCAACTCCGTGATAGTCGTAGTGCCATCATAATTTAGAGATTCAAAATTAGTACTAAGTAGTGGATTTTTAGAATGAGTATAATTACCAGGCTATTTATTGTGTCGTGTGAGTCTGGTGGGGATTCATTTGATATGAGGCTCACCACCCTCTAAGGAAGGACATTTTAGCCAAATAAACTTTTTCTCTTAGAATCAAGTACCAGAACATTCACATGTGAGATTGAAAACCAATGTGACAGTATTTGCTCTAGAAAGCCAATATCATATAGTTGCCTTTCACAAATACATGTAGACTAAGCAAATGATCAAACAACTGACATGTCCATTATAAGTGACATTCAAAAGTTCAAATAATAGAGTGTACTATATACACTAGTGATGAGTTGATGAGGTATAATGACAGCACAAAATAACTGTTCACCGATCTCTAGTGCAGGATAAGCTGAAAAAGCAAATCTAAATAGCAAGATATCACACACCTTGATCTTAGAACCTCCATTTTTCTTACTATTGTGCAGCTCCAAACAACGTTCATTGATGCTAGCAGGGTTACCAATCTTCAGCACCTCTGAATTAACATAAATAAAGAAAATCCCACATTGCAAAACATTAAGAAACATGGAATACAACTTTGCCACCAAGCAGCAGGAATGTAATACAGGCCACAGCTAAATATAAAACGAACAAACTTCCTCCCATTATCATAATACAGTGAGAAACCCCCAATGCCACAAGAC